TTGCGTGGTTTGGCAAGGGTCGCAAAGGTCGGGACGGTGCACTTTGGTGGCGCTGTGAGGGGGCTGACCGAGGGTAGTGGTGGTGTTGTGCGGTGGATGGTGTCATGGTGGTGGCTGCTGCAAGCGAGGCTGAGATCAGGGATGGAGATTGGAGGGATGAGTTGTTTTAATTAAGTTTTTTTCAAAAAAATAAAAATTAGTTTTTAAAAAGAATATTTTTAAAAAGATATATGTTAAAATTAAAATTAAAAAATCCAAACCAATCAACCTAAGAAACATGTTACCGGTCATTTATCCTATTTTTGGAAGATGCATGTTAAAGGTCGTTTTATTGGGGGATTATCAAAAGGTGATTTTATTTTTGGCGAACCGAGCAAAGGTCATAATATTCATGTCAATTTTTCTAATCAGTTTTCAAACTTGTAATTATCCCTACAATTTTTCAAATCCTTAATCTTTAGTAATAAATAAATAATTTCTCATTATTAAGCTTCCAACATTATTTCTTGGTGCAGTGATGTATTGGCGCTGGTGTATTATAGTCTGTTCTAACCAATTAATAAGATTTATCATTTTTTTTTGGTGTTTCACCCGGTTTATCCTTTGGGCTAATCTGAATTTAGAGATTAGTTTTGGATGGTTGGGTTCCAGTCCCCTCCCAATTATTGTTGTCGGAGATTGAACGCAAATCCTTCCTACCAAGTGTACATAGTCTCAATCACTATTACACCAACATCCAATTGGTAGATTTATCAATATTGTGAATCTATAGTGAATCAAAATGGGCATTTCAATTGTAATAGTGTAACATGCATAATCAAGAAGTTCTTGTCAAATTTCATTAAATTGTATTAAAAGTTAAAAGTCTAATCTATTAACTATTACAAAAACAGACTATGCTGACGTCACCGCTGCATATATGTCACTTCCTTACTAAAATAATTTCCCGCCTAAAATGCAAGGATGATGTCTTCTTCTTCTTCTTCTTCTTCTTCTTCTTCTTCTTCTTCTTCTTCTTCTTCTTTTTTCCCTCTTTTTTTGTTTGTTTGTTTGTTTGTTTGTTTGTTTGTTTGTTTTGCAGAGCTATCATGTTTTGCAATTTTGAAATTTAAATGTTGGAACTTTTCACATTTCAACTAAAACCTATCAATTTATCCTAAGAATTTTAAATATAATACTAATAAATTACCTCCAACGTTTTTTTTAGGCCAACATTAAAATGTATATTAGGTGACGTTGAACCGATAATATTTAATTTCATAATTTTGATGAAAATTTAAAATTTTAAAATTTTAAAATTACTTTTTTTTTTTGTTTAAGGTGCATAATTCTTATATAGGTTTTATATAAACCATGCATCGCACATGTTTCAATTAACCTAGTTATATTGATAGAAGATAGTTATATATCTATTCTGTTTACCTTTTTACTTATTTCAGGTCTAATAAGTTCTGATAAATTCAATTAAGTTCTGATAAATTCAATTAAGTTCAAATAAGTTTAGTTCAGGAAATATAAAATTTAAGAAGGGCTACCAAGTACAAATTAAAATTAAAATAAGTTTTAATAATAAGTCTGATCTAGATAAGTTAAGTTTAGTTAAATTCAAATAAGTGAAAATTAGGTAAATTGAACACACCTTAATGGTCGATTGACAATTATTATTTTTCTTTTTGTGTTCCACCCGGTTCACTCTTTGAGTTAATCCATATTCAAGGATTAGTTTTGCCGATTGATGACAATATATATTAATACGGAAATTTTGCCAACAACTACCATTTAAATGACCATTTTTGAAAACAATTGCCATTTAAATAACCACTTTTGATAACAACTACCACTAAAGTTTTTTTTTTTTTTTTTTGAAAAAACTACCACAAAAACACAAAAGGTTTGAGTAGCACTACCACATTTATTATTGTCGGGAAAAATCTCTATTTTAGGGGCATATTTAATAAAATTACCCTAAAAAAATCCAAATTAAATGAAAAATATTGCTCTACATTAAAACTAAATTGGATAATACCCACTTCAATTGCTCAAAATCCCCCAATTTCGTGAATCCCTTAATTCAAATTTTTTACCATGCATAAACCCAAATTGTAAGATTTAAGTGCGAAATCAATCAATTATAATGCGAAATTAAAGATAATTGACCTACAATTGTGTTAGACTAGAAAAATCTCATGCACAATTGATTGAAATTTTATAAGCTAGACTCTCTCAACCGGAAATATTCTTGCAGAAAACTAAACATGATAGTGCTACTCAAAGCTTTTTGTGACTTTGTGGTAGTTTTTTTTTTTATATAAGAAAATTTTCAAAAGTGGTCATTAAAACATGGTAGTCGTTCTCGAAAGTGGTCTTTAAAATGGTAGTATTAACAAAATTTTATTTTAATAACTTTGTAGACTCGTATGATATAATCAAATTTGTATGGTATACAAGAAGGTTGGGTCTAGACCCGGTCTATTCTAGTCTTTGTATGTGAGATTTTAAGTTTTTAACTAATTAAGATAAATATGTAAAATCATATAGAATCATAGATCTAAATATCTAATCGTATGGCTTACATAAATCCGATAAGTAAGATCTCAAGATTTGAGTTGTGATTTTGATCCATAACTATGGTTTTCAATCAATGGCTTTCAAGGCCTTAATTATTCCTCTACCTTGCCTTAATTGCCATTAATTAACTTGAAAATTATTTTTCTCTACCTTGCCTTAACATCCATTAATTAATTTGAAAAGTATTACTCCCTCCGTCTCCAAAACTTTGACCCTTTTGGAATAATTTTAGTCCCAAAACGATCGACTCATTTGCATTAAAATACCCACCAATTTACAACAATATTTAAGAAAAATTAGTTTTCCCATAAAAATTTTATTTTTTCATATATTTTTAATATCTTATCTCTCTACTTTTTTACAAACCCCACGTGAATTTATCCTTTCAATATGTTTTTTATTTCTTTTTATTTAAGTTTCTTAATAACCACGAAATCAACCCAAAAGGGGTCAAAGTTTTGGGGACGGAGGGAGTATCTATTATAGTACTTATTTTATATTTAAACTTAGGTTGAGTATATTTAGGGTTGAAAATTAAGGTTGTCCGTGATTTAATTTAATAAGTGAATAGAGAAAGTTTTTTTTTTTTTTTTTTTTTTGACGAGAAATAGAGAAAGCCTTACTCAGCCTAAAAAAAAAAGGGTAGCCTTACTCAAAATAAAAAATAAAAAATAATAATAATAAAAAAAAAAGGTTAAGGTAGCCATGTGGTGGATTATAATACGTAGTATTATTTTACCGAGAATGTCCTTTTATATAATGTTGTTGGTACTACGTATATTATTAGTACGCATTCGTGGATCAACTCTCGGTATTATCTAACAATTTCCGTTTGACAATAAAAGGTTACAATAAATTTCGTCCAAAAAAAAAAGGGGGGTTTAATAGATCAATAATATAATTGAGTAAATTTGAGACTTTGAGTTACGTAATTTAATGAAGATGAGATGATCTCATAGTCATGACGTATAAAAGCTAATTCTCCACATTTCTTTTTAAAGCTAAACTTTTAGTCAGGTCACGAGACAACGATATTTGGCATTCCAACTTTTCGCCAAGTGTCGCACCACGTTGGATGTACTTAGATAATACCAATACCTGCTAGAATCGGGACATGGGTGAGAATTGATCCCAAGACCTGCTAGAATCGGGAGGGAAGCTCTAACCACTTGAGCTATCCCTCACTCTCATAAAATACCAATATTATTATTAGTCATTTATGCCTACTACATAGTTTAAATCGTTACAAAAACACATCAATTCCTAACTAATTGTGTATTAAACATATATTTTGAAATTTGACATTTTGATTAAAAATTTATTTCAAAATTTAAAAAACAACTCAGGCATCGCATGGGACACAAAACTAGTTTTAAATAAATCAATTCAAGCCCGTATAAATTTAACCCTTCTCTTACTAAACAATGATGAAGCTAGACTTAATTAAGGACAGGGGCCAGTCTAATAAAAATATAGGGACAATAGGGTCATATATGAGCCAATTCAATTGGCTCGAGTAGCGCAAAGCACCAATTAGGGGCCATGGCTCTCATAGGACCCAACTAAGCATCGCCCCTGTTATTAAACCCCATAAGGCCATAACTAAGCAAGGCTTGTTCTCATGTGCTCACATTAAACCCTATTTTGTGATTAATAGATCAAGACTTTAGCAGTTTACTCCCAAATACCATCTCCTTGCCTAATCTTAACATGGTATTAGAGTTACTCTAAATTAGGGTTCTAACATTTAACAATTTAGAAACTTTACTTTTTCATGATACAAGGCTGACCAATATGATGTGCAACAATGTATGTTGTGATCAATTATTTAATTGTATGCCGATGAAGGCGTTGTAAAATAAATTATATAACAATGCAAGGCTAACCAATATAATAATGTGCAACAATATACAATATATGTTGTAATCAATTACTCCGTATTATTTAATTGTATGCGATCAAGGCATGCAATGTAAAATAAATTATAAGTTTACAATTGCAAATTAAAAAAAAAAGTATATTGTTGCCAAAATAAATAAGATAGGAAGAAAATTCCACGATATTAAAAATTTAGTGTTTCATTATGTGAAATCTTAATAATCTTTTTTTATTCTCATGTTTCTTTTTGTATGTTTCTTTTTACAAAAATATCAATACACACGCATAAATATGAAAAGACAAGTAAACTAGTTAGGACCCTCAATTTAATACTTCGTATGTGATTTCTGTCCGTTAATAATTTCGAATTTGTGAGTATTCACATTTAGTATACATTGCCAAAACTAATTTCAACCAAATTTAGTTTTTACTTTATTTTTTAAAAGAAAATTTTATCTAATCAATATTATTACACTGAGTAATAATACTAGAGAACATATAAATAATTGAATATACTGTATGATAATCAACATTGCCACGGTATCGTTTGAAAATCCAAAGGAATATTTCCCATATATACACTATAAAAATCAAATTGGATAATCCCCATCAATTATGATTTCCTTATTTATTGTTGACTATAGACATATAAAAATAAATTGTGAATAAACTATACCAACAAAAAAAAAATGGTGTGAACATAAAATTATGTAAAAAGAGGTTTTCAAAAAAAGAAAAAAAAAAATATCTAAAAAGTGTTTCAAGGTTTATCACAAGCCACATCATAAAAAGGCAAATCAAATTACAACTTTACACATCACTACTCTTATAAATACTCATCATATAATTAATCTAATTACAATTTGCAAATCATTTACAAAAATAAGTGACACATACATGAAAAGAACGAGTAAAACCATGTCACTCCCTACATTTTTCAACCCCAAATTTCTTATAATTTTCACCATCAAAATCTACATTCTTAGCTCAACAATTTCTAATGCACTTCCAACATCATCTTCTCTTTCAAATGTCCAATTCGAGGCCGAAAATTCGCATAATAATGAGCATGAAATACCCCTTTTTCGAAAACTTAATAGACGACATTTGATTGATTGTCTTTCTTCTAACCCTTATCTTCAAATTAGTGTCAATACTTCTTCACGTCTCTCTAATGAGCAATACATCAATGTCACCGTCTCCGGTATATCGCGACCGTCCGATAAGTATTGGGTTGCCATGGTTTCTCCTTCTCATTCTAGGTACGTACATAATTAAGCTCGTTCTTATTTTATGTCATCACGCCATTTTCTTGTTCATGAGGTTAATTTTCTCACAAAAAATGTTAAAGAGTAACAAAATTAACCGAGTTTTTCTCTCAAAAAGAAGAAATTTTCAACATTACAACAAACTACTTATAATTTTCTTTTTGTATACCACATATAATCATTTGATTTTCCAAAAAATAATTACCAAGAGAACGTTAATTAGTTTCAACTCCATATTAGTTATGTACCACTTCGTACTTGTTTAATAACTAATACATAACATTTTAACTACTCTCTTCATTTTATTTTTTTTTAGTTCTACTCATGTTTTATTTTAAATAATCTATTAATTCTTTTTTGTCCTATTCACTCTGCTTTACCTTATTTTTGACATATTTCTTTTACTTTTTTTTTCGATCCTTTGATTTTACTTAATTACACATTTCTACACTCATTCTTTTATTTTATTCGGCTTTTTCTTACATAAACGCACACTTTTACATTTGATATTCAAACTGGATATAGACTATAGTGAAGTTAAAATAAAATTATTTATATGTTAACAATTAATTGTATTGAAAAGTATCAACCAAATTATTATACACGAAAAATTGAAAATTTATATGAATTTATGTTGTTGTTACACTTCTTGAAAGCTAAATTTATTTAAAAGAATATTGTAATAATTTGTTTTAACATTTACATTGATATTTTCCAGTGTGAAATACTGCCCTCTTAACACTTTGTTGTATAAACAAACGGGGGATTTGAGTAATCTTCCTCTTCTTTGCCATTATCCTGTCAAGGTATCACTTATTTATTTATTTACTTATTTATTTACATATTTTTCATGTTAATAATATTTGTTAGAAATGTTGAATATATCAAGGTTGCATTCATATTAACAAATTATTTATGTTGTCTATTATTCTTTCAATTATTAGAGTATATGATGCAATGTTGAAAGTTGTGGTAACCATCTTATAGATGATATATGCGTTATTTATGGATCGAACATAGTATAGAATAAAGTATTTTATGCGAATATAAATTAAATAAAGTATAACGGTTCAATGATTAAATAATTTGAGTTGCGGAATGTAGAAGTTAAGATGATATCATGTATGTGGTATGTCATGGAAAATGCCTAAATTTTATTGAAAAGGAGAGAAAGATATAAGTTAAGTTGTTTATATCCACATACATCTAAATGGGAGGCCCCCTAAAATGGTACTTGAATTACTTTTTAACTAAAAATTACGAAAGAATTGCCTAAACTTTTAGTTATTACTTACCTTAATTGGTTATAATTAGTAAGGTATAATTTAGTTTAGTGGATGAAGTTTCTTAAGTTAAGGTTTATTATATCATGTCATCATGGTTCACACGGTACGTAACATGTTTGTGATAATAATAGGAAAAAAATATATAATAATAATAATAATAATAATAATAATAATAATAATAATAATAATAGCTAGCTTAGACTTGTTAACACGTTAGATTTTTAGTACTATGTATATTATAATAATACTTCAAAAAAAATGTATATTATAATAAAAGACTTAAATATATAAATTATATTCTTTTCAAGAACTTCAACTATTAATTAATGATCTAAGGATATTTTTCTTGATTAAAATTTATTTTATTTAGTACACTGTATGTTTTTATTGATTAGAATTTTTTAGGAAGAATTGATTGTGACTAAACTTTTTTTGTATTAATAAGAATTAATTGTTTTGATCCACTAATACTTTTATATATCATACTTGTTGATTTTAAAGCTATAATTAGTTAATTACTAACCAAAAGGAATTTAATGATCGCATTTGTTAAATATAAAAATATTTCAATTTTTCTAGTTGGAGGGAACACGCTCTTAGCTAACTCAAGTGACCCTACATTGATCGATCATAAGGTAATGGAGAATTTCATAATAATAGAAGCATTGACAAAGTTGTACCAACAACTAATTAGAATGCCATCTGGCCTTAAAAAAATAAAACGTAGTTCTTCTATATATTCCAAGATAAAGAAACATTTTTATTTGAATTGCATAAAATTGAAGAGATAAACCAACATATACTTCCTCCATTATATATTACTTCAACACATTATTTTGGCAAGCTCTCTAAGATGAATATTAGACTATATATAAACATACAAATTAATCATAATAATTTTACCACCAATAAAATGAATATATTAAGTAGTTATGGTTTCAAATTTATCACTTCATTCATCGGTTAATCTTTTTTAATTACTTCCTCAAATATAAAAAGTGTTGCAAGTAAAATTTAAAAAATAATAATAAATAGTCTCTTGTTCATTTGGAATCACTAGAAAAGCTTTAACCACTTGAGTTATTTCTCGCTATATAAAAAATAAAATAAAAAATATAAGAAATTTTTTTTTAGAGTATTATAAGTTAATAAAAGTCACTTTAAATTCACTAGTTTATGTTCACACATTTATTATTGGTCGACATTATAAGTATCGTGTCTTAAATTGGTAGCACTAGATGACTAGAATTATCTTGAACCAGTTGAATGTGGATCAACTTTTTCCAACTACAAACATTGGCATCAAATGTCACATGAATTATATTCAAACTGTTTCGATACAAACATACGGAGCTGAGTATCAAAATTTTAATCAAACATTTTATGTGAATGCTTTTCATCCATACTTCTTCAATAAAAACCAACCACAAACTCTTAAAATTAGAATCAATATCCAGCTATCAACTCATGGACCAACACATGCATTGATCTTGAAAAGAAACTTTTAACTTGTATTCAATTCGAGTACTTAACTCCATCTGTTCTTTTAAGATTGTTCAATTTTCCTCATTTCACTCTACTTAGGGCATGTTCACTTCAACTTAATTTCAGTTTAGTTTAGTTTAGTTCAACTCCAATCAGTTCAGTTTAGCTCTTAATTTTCTTCTCTCATTAAATATTCATTCCAGTTCAGTTTAGTTCAATTCAGCTCCAATGAATTCAGTTCAGTAAATATGAACAGGTCCTAGACTAATTTAAATGAATCAATAATTTTGTCTTCATGCATGTGAGGTAAGGGGTAAAGTACAAAATAAAGATATGGTGTTCTTATTATGGATTAACAATATAACGTAATTAAAATGACTTTATTGTCCATAATAAAACGAGGTAAGGATAGTATTAGTTAGGGTACACATGTTAAGTTCTTATATATTTTTATTGATGTATATTTATTGTATTCTCAACAAAAACCAAACACAGAATGACCATATTTTTATGTCAAAATAAATAACGTTCATGCTCATACTCCTACTCGTACTTGATACTCATCCCACCTTTTAATCCTTAAACTCTCATTTTTACATACCAAACGCCCCGCCAATTTTCAAAAACTTCCCATAACACCCCCCCTTATGTTCCCCGGCTGCCCAAAAGTTTGTTATGAATACAAAAATGTGTGTAACCAATAATCCAATATGAACTTAGCATATATTACTTCTTTTTGTGAGAAGGGATTCCATGGAAATTGAATTCAATTTGATAAAATTGTTTCTTAATTTAATAAGACTTTTTATTCCTAACTTCATTCTTTGCTCAAAATTATAGGCGGCATTTCTGAAAAATGATCCAGATTTCTTAACCTGCAAAAAGAGTGAATGCAAGAAACAAGGAGCTAATGGAAGCTGCAGTACCAAAACTTGCACCTCATCAATTATATTTCATGTCATCAACATACGAACAGACATCGAATTTGTGCTCTTTGACAACGGCTTTAATGCACCTTGCATCTTAAAGAGAACTACACCTCTTCCATTTGCTACTCCTAATAAGCCCCTCTATGGACATATTTCAAGCGTGAACTCAGCAGCTACCTCGGTAATACACATATACAACTAAACTCGATAATTAGACAAATCGAACATTATGTAATTAATATTTGAGGCCTTCCTCTGTCTAATCTCAGAGCTAAGAGCTAGCCAATCACCATGAGTTGAGACCGAGGAAGTACCAAAGTTTACAAAAAATATATTTGGAAGTTTTCTTTGTCATCATGGATTAGTAGATTAGAATTTTAGATTATGAACTTCGTAATAATTAAAGCAAAAACTGCAGATGAGAGTAACATGGGTGAGTGGAAGTATGGAATCTCAACAAGTTCAATATGGTAATGGCAAATCAGTAACATCAAATGTTTCAACATTTACACAAGATGATATGTGTGGTAATAACCCATTGCTAATATTTAAGCAAATTTCATTATCTTTTCCTGTAAATTTTACATGTTTTTATAATCTTGGATGTCCAAATAATACAATCATATAGGTGGCATTGTGAAGAGTCCTGCAGAGGATTTTGGATGGCATGATCCAGGTTATATACATACAGCTGTTATAACAGGACTTCAGGCTTCTGCAAAATTTTCCTACAAATATGGAAGGTTGTTCTTCTCTACTGTTTGACACACCAATAGTCTTATTCCCCCTTGGTTCTTTGAGTCTTGAATTGTGTTCTCAACAAGTTTGTTTCTGCTGCGCTGCTGTGCAGTGGTGCAGTTGGATGGAGTGATGAGGTCCAATTTAGAACACCGCCTGCAGGAGGATCAGATGAACTGATGTTTTTAGCTTTTGGTGATATGGGAAAAGCTCCTCGAGATTCTACAGTAGAGCATTATATTCAGGTAAGAGCCATAGCATTTTCTCCTTTTAAGGCATGTAGGCCAGAATTAGTCCTAATGTGCTTAAGACCAAAACCTTGGTTAGAATCGTAGTTTTCTTGACCTACATTTTGACAGTGCGGGTTAGATTGTAGTTAGTCAACAATCCTAACCATATATTGCATTCATCAACATCACTGAATTTAAATAACTGCTTTTGACTGCAGTCATATAAACATATTTCTTCAATTTCCAGCCAGCTAACCTTAATTTATGGCATTAGCCAGGATCACTCTCAGTGGTGGATGCAATGGCAGAGGAAGTTGCTACAGGCAAAGTGGACTCCATCTTTCACATAGGTGACATCAGTTATGCCACAGGTTTCTTAGTCGAGTGGGACTACTTTCTTCACCTCATCACACCCTTAGCATCTCGAGTATCTTACATGACCGCAATTGGGAACCATGAAAGGTTCATTATATCTTCTTATCTGATCTGAAAATCCAAACAAACTCGCAATCAGCATCTTTATTAATGCTTCTTTCTTGTTTCAATTGTCTTGCCAAAACAATAGGGACTATGCTGATTCAGGATCAGTGTACCCAACACCAGACTCCGGTGGAGAATGTGGTGTTCCTTACGAGAGTTACTTCCAAATGCCAACCTCATTAAAAGATAAGCCTTGGTACTCCATTGAACAAGGTCCTGTTCACTTCACTGTCATCTCAACCGAGCATAAGTGGACGCCAGGTTCTGAACAGGTATAATTCAATAATTAATCCTCATTTCTTCCTAAATAAAAATTATTTTTCTTTCTGCATCATTTTCAGTAATTTTTGGTCCTTTGATTACCCTTCTTCCGTTGCACTTTTGCAGTACAATTGGATGAAATCAGATATGGCTTCAGTTAACAGGACAAGAACTCCTTGGCTAATATTTAATGGGTTAGTTCAATATTTTCCATCACTATTCTTCGCTGCGTAGTGGTTTAACTAGTCCTTCTGTGCAACTATACATATCAATGGTCAAAGAGTAATCTTACAAAACAAACTCAGGAACAGAGGGAGTATTACAGTTGTAACCTTAATGAAAGCTAATCTTGACACAAAAGTTATGGTTTCATTTCAGGCACAGGCCAATGTACACTTCTGCAAAATCGGCTCTAGTCAGTGTTGATCTGTTATTTGTTACTTTTGTTGAGCCATTACTACTCCAAAACAAGGTTAATTCTTCCCCTCAAATGAATTTATATAAGTAGTATATATTTGCACTAGTAAATGAAATTTTTGGTTTTATACAAAATTTGACAACTGTATATGATTTGTGTTAGGTTGATTTGGTGTTATTCGGGCATGTTCACAACTATGAGAGGACTTGTGCATTGTATAAAGGCAAATGCAAAGCCAAACCTGTGAAAGATGCAAATGGAGTAGACACTTTTAATAACTCAAACTATGCTGCTCCTGTTCAAGCTGTTATTGGGATGGCAGGGTTCACTTTGGATGAATTCTCACCTATAGTAAGGCCTTGTTAACTTTTTCCATAGTATAAGGTCTTACATGTTATTTGAATAATTTCATAATTTAAACAAGTATATTGTTTTGAAAAAAGAATATTTGAAAAAACATAAGTTTCAATTCATTCTAAATATTAATCTTCATCAAATTATAGAAATGTTTATTAACACTATTTTGTTACAGGCACCAGATTGGAGTTTAAAGAGGATTAGCAAGTTCGGTTATTCAAGAATACATGCAAAAAGGGAAGAATTGAATTTTGAGGTTTGTTTTTGCAAAATAACTCATTATGAATCCATTAAAAGAAAAAAAATATATTGAAGCACTCTTTAGACATTATTGGTAAAATTTCTTATGCGACTATTTTCGAATGTAATTCTTCTTTTCATACCTTGCAGTTTGTGGACTCAAATACAAGGCAAATCGAGGATTCATTTCGGATCATAAAGAAGTAAACTTAATTAAGGAAGGGAAGTTTTTGCACTTGTTTCATTTCAAACCAACCCATACAATAGAACTAGATCAAAGCTAATCAAGGAAAGAGAGTGTGTCCCCATCATGTTTCATTTCAAGTCCCGAAGAAGAAGAGTAGATCAAGGATAGTTTTTTAAACAAACTAGCTAGTTTCGTATAGAATCATATATAGTGTCTGAAATTTCAACACATACAATAGTACATTCTTGTAATTCATTCAAAAATTAAATTGGGCACTTTGTATGATATGAAATGTGTACAATATCATAAGAAATTGATAGGAAAAGGATGGTTGGAATTATATAAAGTTATGTGAATTTTTGTATGTGGTGTTTGGAAGTTTTCATGTTCATATTGGGTGTTACTCAGGTGATACTGTTTGTATTCAGTAATTTCAGTTTTTCATTATAAGATACAAAATTATGCAGCTAAAATTTTCTTTGCCAATTGTTTAGGCCTTTGTCTCATAATTTGGGCACATACGGACTTTATAATATAGATTGAGAGAAATACATTCTAATTTTTCCCTACCTAACATATAAAAAAAAATTGATGCATTAGAAACACACACATTTACACAATAATGATAGTCTCCGGGAAAATCAGCTCAGAAAATTTGAAGAAATCTGGGGTGGGGGAGCGAATTTCAAAATGACCATCAATTAATAAATAACCAAAAAATGAAATTAAAAAAATAGCCTTTGTTTGGAATCTTTGGATTGAGAAAGTTGAAGGGAAAGGAAGAGAGGAGAAAAAAAGGGATCCATTCATCCATCTGCCCTTGTTTGGATACCATTTAGTAAAAGGGAAGGGAAGGGAAAGGAAATGAAGGGTTCATTTTCACTCCATCTTTAATAAACTATATAATGTAACCATACCTTCTTCCCCCCCCCCCCCTCCTTTCCTCTCCCTTTCCCTTCCATGTTGTTATCCCAACAAACCGTAAATGAAAATCAAAAACAACAAATAAAGCTCTATTTAAATTATAAAATGAAAAGCAAGAAAGGGAGCCCAAACCTAAGCCATTAGAAGGATCTTCAATGGTGTGGTAAGTATGGCAGAAGAATGACAGTGTGAGAGGAGATATGTTGTGCTGAGGAAAAAGTGGCAAAAAAAAGGAGGAAGTTAGGGCATATTGCCAGCTAATTCACATTAAATGCGACATAAAACAATCAATCAAAATGACAAGTGTTGGTGAAATTAACGATGCCAAATTAAATTAATGGTTAATGGTAACCTATTCAATACCAGCATATAGCTTTGAGGGTTATAATATGTGGATGAGAAGTTTGTCATCTTTCAGGAAATTGTTAAAATTAACAAACCCAAAATTCAAATAATTCAATATCACATTATTCAAATAAAAATCAAAGAATAAACTCAGATTCTAAAATCTAACAGTAAAGCAAAATAAAAGAACTTACAAGTTAAAAGCGATTTCCATCAAATTCAAAAGCTTGAATTGGCTTGTGCACCGTTACTGTCTTCATATTCTTGATCACTCTCACTGTTATTTCTGGATTTGTTCTTCAATTGAGAGGAAATTAGCAGAGAGAAAGAAGATGGTAACGAGAGAAGCAGTGTGAAAGGGGAGATATATAGTGCTGAGGACATAGTGGGAGAAAAGGAGGAAGACCAACATGAAAAGCAACAAATTTCATGTGATCTTCAGGTGCATGTAGCTGCTACAGTGTTTTCACCATTTACACACTCAGATCAATATTCATAAGCATATGTCAGTTTCATACTTTTTAATTGTTAGAAACATGTCTCTTGCAGCCTTCTAGGAAACTACGCCATATAAGAGCATTTGGAGGGAATGGCATGCTAGCGATCACTTGCTCTGCTTCCTTTAAATGCCCATGACGAGCTAATAGGTCCACCACACCATGATAATGATCCATCCCTGGCTCAAGATCATATAACCTTTGCATTCGTGAAAAGAGCGCCATTCCTTCTTCAACTAAGCCTCCATGTCTGCATGCTGAAAGCACAGCCACAAATGATACAGTATCTGGCTTGATTCCCAGGAGCTCCATTTCCTTAAACCTTTCCAAGGCCTGTAATACAAAGCCATGATGCCCAAGAGCAGAAATTATAGTAGTCCATGTAATAAGGTTCTTATCTTGTGTAGCATCAAAGACTTTCACCGAATCTTCAACACATCCACATTTTGCATACATGTCTATTAGGGTGTTGCAAACAAATGTGTCACAACGTTCAAAGTTGGACTTAATTAGGAGACCATGGATGGAAATACCAAAAGCAAGGCAGCGCAGACTGGTGCAACTACACAGGACACTCACGATTGTATAATTGTCAGGATAAATTTGTAGTTCCAGCATGTGCTTAAGAACTTCAAATGCTTCCGTATGATAGCCATTATGAGAGCAAGTAGACACTAGAATGTTCCAAGAAATAATGTCAGGTTCATCCAGCTTAGAGAGGATCTCCATAGATTTATCAGACTCTCCCTTTCTACTATAAGCAGCAGCTATGACATTGGAGGAAACCACTGGAATTGGTGTCTCCGCAGAATTGGCAATGAGTAATGCATCAGATATTAGTCCATTTTTGGCATACGAGGTAATCAGCGAGCTAAACACATACTCATGTTGAAGGTATCCCGTTCTTATAATCAAACAATGGACCTGTTGCAGCTCAAAGACAGAAGATACTTTCAGCACCGCAGAAAATGTAAACTCGTTAGGACAATAACCAAACTGAAACATTTCTTGAAATAAAGATAAAGAGCTGCTCTGACTTTTAGAAGTGACAGCTGCAATCAAGCTGTTCCATGAAACAACATTTCTATCACATATTTCATCAAAGCACCGTCGAGCACAAACTAACATATCGCACTTCCCATAGAAGTCAACCAATGCACTACCCACAGAAACATAATTTTTCATTGAGTTTTTTATAACCTTAGAATGGACATAATCTCCACACAGTTGTATCCGCAGATTGGCCGAACAATTGATAGCGCCAACATAAGTAGTTTTGTTAGGCAAAATCCCTTCGCAGAGCATATGACAGAGCAGCTCTAATCCCCTGCCAGGACTGTCACTTCTCGCCAACGGCCCAATCAAGGTATTATATGTCACAACATCACGAAATGGCATCTCCTCAAACATTTTTACAGCCAAAGAAAAGTTCATGCATTTCACACACATGTTGAGAAGGGAATTTGAGGTAGAAACTTCATGAGTTAAACCAGTTTTAATAACTAGACTATGCACTTGTTGTCCTAATTCTTGCGGCTTTTCTCCCGTAAAACCAGACAGTAAACCAACTATAGAGCCCTCGGAAAGCTTATAACTTGCCCTCATCATCTCACGAAATAAAAGCATAGATTCTTCCATGAACCCATGATATCCTAGCAAAGATATAACAGAATTCCATGTGACCAGACTCTTGTGAGGCATATCTTCAAAAACTCGAACAGCCTTGTCAATACACCCATGTCTGCCAAACATACCAATTAAAGCAGTCCCAGCATGAGGTTCAGCAAATAGCAATCCATTCTTCAACATTAACCCATGTAAAATAAATCCCCTCTTCAAGTCCAAAGAAGAACAAGAGAGAAGACCACCAACAGTGAATTGGGTCGGTCTAAAACCACAAATCCACATACAAGAAAAGAGTTCCCAAGCATCATCCACCTGTTCATTGCGACTATATGCACTCATTAAAGCATTGTAGGAGACCAAGTTCTTTTGGGGTATTTTGTCAAATACCTTATGTGCACTCTGTAACTCATGGAAAGAAGCATACAAAGAGATAATGTTATTAGCAAAGTAGGTTGATTGTCTAGCATATGAACCCAGAGTAATGGTAAGAGCATGTAAGGATTGTACTGCTTTGAGGGTTGCAGCTTTAGTGCATTTATGCAGGAAATCATGAAGCTGTTCATCTTGGTATCCAATTAAAGTATGTTGGAGTGTACTGAACAATTGACAATGCCTTAAATTAGCAGTAGAAGAACAAGGTAATTTCAACAATACAGAGCACAAAGATTTTCGGAGGCTTGCGCTTGGTATATAGGAGATGATCATGTACAACCTGCTAAAGAAGAAAAGTCAGTCGAGTAGACCCAAGTTCAGAGATGAATTACACTTACAAGTTACAACCCAAAGTCAAAATTTAATAGTAAAAGGAAAACATAGTGCTAGAATGGAGTGTATTCTTAATACCAACAATGGCAAAGTTACGAGTAATACATCACCTGTTTAATTAACGATGATTTTTTTTTTCTATATCATATGGTAGCATAAAATTTTACTATAAAGACAATGTACATTAAGGACTAGTATAGTATATCTGCTGAGTACTAGATTAGAGTTAGCGCAAAAGGTATAGTATAGCAGCCTTTCCAAGCGAGCCTCCAACAAACCCCCATGACGTGTCAGGAAGGATATTACGGGAAGCAATGAGGAAATATTTTCCTGCCAATGGAATCGAATGAGGGTAGAACTTCACATCCAGTTGAGAAGGCAGGACACCCCGACCCTATAATTATTAAGCCTTTGCAATGATACTTGGTTCAACTCGATTCATAACCATTTTTTGCATTTGGGACTTTCTATCTTCTTGGGTCGATAATCAATCGACTTTCATTTGGATAGTAAGTAGTTTTTATAATACTAAGCTTTGCTAATCACCTTAAGAACATGCAATTGCAATATCAATCCTCATTGCTAATCATATCATTTAAGAACCCTCCTCAATCCTCACCTCTTAAGTTAACTCTGCAACCATCCTCAAAGCCACACCCGTCTCTGAGGTAAGGCAGCAGAGGCGGCCACCTCGGCCAAGAACAAATATTCCACTTTTATAGTTCCGCCCTAACATTAAAGGGTTTCACAACACATTAGCAACCACATTTGACACAATTATCAGATTGAATTCTTCTCGTTTAAGAATTCCAGGAAGAAAATTTCCATTTTTATAGTTCGTTACTAACATCAAAGGGTTCTGTAACACATTAGCAACCAGATTTCACTCAGTTGTCAGATTAAGTTCTGATCGCTTAAGAATATGATAACCAAAATTCTAACAACAAAACTTCTCGTTGGAATCATTCAGTAACTATAACTAACTGTTCAATTATCTACCTAAGAAGAACCCTAAACTGACTATAATCTAGCAAAGAAATTTCACGTTATAATCTTTCAGTGTTGAAAACCAATAGTTCAATATTCTACCTTAGAAGAACCCTAAATTGAATGCAATGACTAAATTAAAGATTAATACTTGAATGTGAAAATGATATTCGATGAAAGATTACCTCAGAATGAAGCTACTTCAATGGAGGAGAGAGAAAGCTCAAGAGCTGCTTTAATGGAAAACTCAGAGTATGCTTTCAATGGAGAAGAGAGGGGGAGCAACAATTTCCTTTGAATTCAGCAAAAGAAATTTTTCAATTTATTTAAAACGATCTTTCTAATGAGCGTCCCGGCGCGTTAGTTAAGGATAAATTATATTAGTTGAAATGGTATTAAGTTAGGAATTCATAATAAAATCACACGTTATGTGGTGTAATTAATGTTAATTTTACTCTAATATTTGCACTTTAATTCTCTTATCTAACTCCCCGAGGGTGCTCATTAGCTTTTGCCTTTTTAAAAATACCTTTATTACTAAGGGAAAGGCTAATGAGCACCTAGGGCGTTAGATAATAAGAGGAGTAAAAGTGAAAATATTAGAGTAAAACTAATATTAATTACATTAAACGAAGTGTGATTTTGTCATACATTCTTAGTTTAATACTTTTTCGACCAATATAATTATTCATTATCTAGCTCCACAGAGCTCTTATTAGCAAGATCTTATTACTAAAAAGGTTTTTTTTTTTTTAAAAAAAAAAAAAATAGATAACACCTCTAAATGATTGAATGTACCTTTTTGTTGAATTAATCACTTTTTTTAATCAAAAACTATATCACCCCTAATTTACAAAATCAGCAGGTTTCACTACCCCTATCTCTAATTCTCTATTCTAGCTAGTTTTCCCAATATGGATGCAGTAAGCTTTGAGTGTCAAGTTGCTAAGAGACTAAGGGTCTGTTCTGATTTGCAGAGAGGGGCAAGCCTTTGTTATATCATCCAAAGATAATTATATCATTTGACTAAATTACTTAAAATACAACTATAATATTCAAAATATGACTCATAACAACCTAATTACATAATATAAAAAAGTGATTATATCAACCAACATGTGACTATATTATATGAGGGTGTCAAAGATTGGCTTTACAATAATTTAGTGTAGTCCGGGTCCATACAAGACTTTTTAATAATGTTATCCAATACAAATAAAAGTTATCTACTTTACAATTTATTGGTAAACTCTTTTATATGACTTAAAATCAAATCTTAGTGATCGAAAATATTTATATATTGCCATTATAAAATTTAAAATTATGTCGTTGTCTATTAAAACAGGATCGAGTATAAAATTACTCAAAAAAAAAGACAAAAAGTTGACCCAATTGGCTAAATTTAAAGTTGTCATAATATTATCACAAACTAGTAGGTGTATCACAAACTATTGGGTGCGGGAGGAGACGACGTGACGATGAAGACGACGGAGACGATAAAGACGATGAAGATAAAAATGATGGATGAAGACATCAATGACGACGATGACGATACGGTCTGAAAATGGTGGTAGCAATGGTGGTTTTGCGATATAAATCTAGATTTGTGATTAGGCGAGAATGGAGGAAGAGAGAGAAAGAGGTGGTGGAGATGGGTTCGGTCGGAAGATGGGTAGTGGTTGGTGGGTGCGGTGGGAGTTGCGGTGGGTTCGGTGGGTGCGGTGAGAATAGGCGTGAGAATTTGTGGCGTGAGGAGCCAAATAGTTTGTACATAGAGGAAGAAGAGGGAAAGAGGAGAGAGAAGGAAATAAAATAAGTTGTATATATCATCCAGTACACTTAACATATAAGCCAATTAATGATTGAAACATGTAAGCCAACAAAAGGAACATATCAGCCAACAAATGAAGTGTATCAGCCAACAAAATAAAAAACATAAGCCAACAATTAAAATACACATATCAGCCAATAAAATAAATGATACGTATTGAGCAGGGGCGAAGCCAGGATTTTCAAGTCCCGGGGCTGGACTTATTAGACAAAAGATTGATGGAAAAAATTAAAGTGTACTAATATTTTATTGTCACCAAAAAAACATTACTTAATTCGTAGTTGATGACTTTTCATAGTAGCAAAATCATCAATCAAAGATTAAATATTAAAATCTACGACAATCTCTTTTTCTATGTATACAACCAAATCTCTAAGAAAATCATCTTCCTTTTTACACCTTAGTTGAATTTTGACAATATTCATTGCAGAAAAGACCCTCTTCTTGTTGAATATTAACTTTTTGTAAAAAAAATTTGTCTTTGAAGTGGAACCATCCTCTTGTTGATTATTAACTTTTTTGTAAAAAAAAAAATCTATTGTTTTTTATCTCATGAATTAATCTATATCAATACAAAAACTACAATTCTCAAATTAAGTAGAATATAACCCTAAAATTTGGTCCTAAATGTCCATTCAATAAATTAAAAATTACCCAAAATTATTAAGTAAATAAACATATTAAGCAAGTAAACAATTAATCACCCCCCTTCAAAAAAAAGTAAACTGATTTGGTTTGCTAGAAACCCACATTGAATAAAAAGTTTTAATTAAAAAAATATGTAGGAGATAGGATTCGAACCCAGTCCACTTGGAAAAATAAAACATTACCCAACCAACATGACAAGGTATATTTATTGTTATAATTGTGTGTCTTGAATATTATATATACTAATTTTAAGGGGGGCCTTAACCTAAAATATATGGGCAGCAAATCTGGGCCAGGGAGGCCGGGCATCCACTAGCCCCCCCCTCCCCCCTCCCTTCGCCCTTGGTATTGAGATGATTATATCTTATTTTAGATTTTTGCCTACGAGTTTTTACCTTTCACTTGAAAGGGTTTTTCTTGTTTTAGGCCTTAGTAATTTATTTTAATTACTTGGATATATTTGTTAGTTTAATTCGATTAGTATAAGATAGCTTAATAACTTTAAAGATCATATTTGCAAAATATTATCTTTACAAGTTAGGGATAAGTTTCCTAGTCAGATTAGAATTTGTTCTATATGATTGTAAGCTAATTGTTTAGCTTATACGTGGTTAAGAATTAATTAAAAAAAAAATCAGATTTGAATTTTGTTTATCATAGAAAAAACGTGAGCTTAGCTCGTGTTTATGGTTTGTTAAACCTTGTCGTTGTGCTAAACTTTGATTCTTGAACCGAGCCTTCAAGTATTGCCTCTCAGCTGAGCCTTAGGAGTTCTATCGTTGTGTCACAAAAATTCTTTAACTCGTTTTCCTCAAGAAAAACGAATACATACAACTATAATCGTATAATAAACATATTAAAATTCAAGAAAGGTTTAAAGATTGTTTCTTTTATTCAATAAATATATCAGCCAACTAAAGAAACATATAAGCCAAATAATGTCAGCTATCAGCCAACGAAAGAAACCATCAAAAATTAAAAAAAACATATCAACCAACAAAAAGAATATAAAAGCCAACACAAAAATCATATAAGCTAACAAATGAAACATATCAGCTAACACATGAAACATATAAGCCAACAAGTAAAACATATCAGTCAAGCCAGACGCACAGAAATTTCTGTGCGGACATTTGCATGCAATACGCTCTCAAATATTATTCAATTTACACTAATATTATTGTAAATCAGTTGTAAACAAATGTTTTGTTAATTTATTATGCTACTAATATATCTCCAATGTCTTTACTTTGTGCCTAGGTTGCAAAATAATGAGTTCGGATACGGATATGGATACAACACAAATACGGAAAAACGCCAATCTCAAAACAGAGTACACAGATATAACATGTAACAATTCACACAATATATTTAAACTATCGAATTTAACAATTTATTCAATAAAATCACTAAAATAATGTAGTATCAAAAATCAAAATTGCATTATATATTAGTCCGTCATCTAATAAGCCAAAAAAAATAAAAAAAATAAAAAAATAAATACATGCACATAGAAATATAGAATTGTAAATGCAAACGTAAAAATTACCCACTAATTGATCTCTTTCCCCCTTCTAGTTCTATATACAGTATACTCGGTATCATTTTGGTACTCTATTGGATCACACATTATATTATTAACAATATTTTTATACTCCCTTCGTTTTTTTTAAATGCATCACTTCCATTTTGGGGTGTGTTTTTTTTTTAAATGTATCTTTTTTATCTTTGGTAACTTTAAATTATATTTTATTATTTCTCTCTCTTCTATAAGAGCATGAGCAATGGTGGGTAACTCACAACCATTACAACTCATTTCATTCATTTATCTCTCTTCCAAATCATCTTCCACCTCACTTTCCACTATCTTAAAGCTACTATTATGAGTCACCTTAATTTTTATTTTTTTTTTATCTACAATGGTAAGGTTACTCACCACTCTTTCTCCTAATTTTTATCAACCCATCATCTATTCTTTATTTGAATTTGTAATTATTGAACTTACATAATTATGTAATAAAACTAAGACATTGTTAATTGGTTTATTATTTTAATTGGAGCATTATATTTACTACAAAAAAAATCTTAATAATCACTTAAATATGTAAGCTTTTTTTTTCTAATTTTTGAAATGAAAAATACAATACTAATATAAAATTTAAATTACAGTTTATAAAACAAAGAGATACATATAAATATAAAATACAATCTTCATTAAAAGTGATTTTGCTCATTGTGGGGAATAAATTCAAGCGTTAATCCCCTGCTTGAACCCCACTGTGATCATACACTAAAGTACGGTGGCGTCTAAAGGGAAAGAAGATAGAGCAAAAGAGTCGCCAACAAGTTTTAGGAACTTGTAAACCGTTCACAGGGTGAAGGTTACACCCCTTAACGATCCAAGAGATCGTCAACTCCATAAGGTCTAGAACCAAATAAGGGTTCGGGGATGAAGGTCCAAATCCAACCTAAAAGAGATTGAACCTGCCCTAATAATAGGCCTCTACTTTATTCTGATCATATTCATGTGCACTTTCTAATTAACATGCAATCAATAGGATTAACCCTAAACCTGTTTATCTATGTTGGTTGAATTTAAATGCACAAATAAACTATTATTGGCGATCACTGAAATTATAATCAAATTAACCCTAACAAGATTATTAATTATCTTATGAAGCGTGATTACAAGTATTAATTCCCTTTAAACATGCATAAAAGACGTGATCAAGCAATAAACAAAATAATCAAGCAACACAATAATCATGACAATAAAATTATAATCATCATCAAGATAATAATAATAATAATAATATTCATGATCATCATAA